CTTCAAATCTGAATGCGTAGGTATAGGACTTTATTTGAGTTTCGAAGAAAAACACATACAGGGTGGGGCAAAGTAGATTTATAGTTCATATGGAAAATAGTACAATAATTAATAAATAATAATACAAGAATAAACTTTTACATACAACTGTAAACCTACTTTTGCCCAGCCCTTTATTATTTATAGGTATAAACAAAGTGTTTTAGAATTTTTACTATGAACTGATTTTTTAAAATATTTTTTTTATTGATTTCAGACAAGAAGGGAGGAAAGAGAGAGATAAAAACATCAATGATGAGAGACAATCATTGATTGGCTGCTTCCGGCATGCTCCTTACTTTGGAATCAAGCCCCAAACCCTGACATGTCCCTTAACCGAGAATCAAATAGTGACCTCCTGGTTCATAGTTCCACGCTCAACCTCTGAGCCACATTTATTGAGCTGAACTGATTTAAATAAATTTGAAAACTTTTTAATTCTATTTTTTCTGAATACAGATTCCATTCCTTTTTGATCATAACTATAGTATCTGTTTTCTAAAAAAAAAAATGAAATATCCAGCAAAATTCATTATTGTAATAGTTTGTATTTAATGTCATTTTCTCAGGATTCATATGAAATAAGAGTTATGTTTTATGGGGATGTGGGTCAAGGAAGCAGATTAAAGAGGGCTAAGAAAGTATGAACCTGGGCAAAGGGTTTAGAACAAGGCTTTAGCTGCCAGTCTGGAATCTGAATTCTATGATTAAATGTACTTTTAAAAAATATATATATTTTATTGATTTTTCACAGAGAGGAAGAGAGAGGGATAGAGAATTAGAAACATCGATGAGAGAGAATCATCAATCAGCTGCCTCCTGCGCAGTCCCCACTGGGAATGTGCCCGCAACCAAGGCACATGCTCCTGACCGGAATCGAACCTGGGACCCTTCAGTCTGCAGGTCGACGTTCTATCCATTGAGCCAAACCGGTTTCGGCTATTAAATGTATTTTAAATAAAGGATTCTCTGAATCAGAGACATAAAAAGGGAGTGGACTGACAATTCTCAGGGGGAAGGGGTTTTGAGAGGTGCAGGAAGAGATTGGACAAAAATCTTATACCTATGGATGAAGACAGTGGCAGGGGATAAGGGCATGGGGTGGGGAATCAGGTGTAGGGGAGCTATGGGGGGGAAAAAGAGGAACACCTGTAATAATCTGAACAATAAAAATTTATTATGTAAAATAAAAAAATAAAGGATTCTCTGGAATCCTTTTTGGTTCAAGATATTTTCCATTTTCTTTGAGTTAAAATCAGTGTAGTGTGGTAGATTTTATAGGATTGTTTTTTTTTTGTTTGTTTGTTTTTTAAATCTATCCTAGCTGAAACCAGTTTGGCTCAGTAGATAGAGCGTCGGCCGGCATGGGGACTGAAAGGTTCCTGGTTCGATTCCGGTCAAGGGCATGTACCTTGGTTGCAGGCACATCCCTAGTAGGAGGTGTGCAAGAGGCAGCTGATTGATGTTTGTCTCTCATTGATGTTTCTCTATCCCTCTCTCTTCCTGTCTGTAAAAAATCAATAAAGTATTTAAAAAAAATTCTATCCTATCTAATAAAAGAGTAATATGCAGATCGACCATCACTCCAACACACAAGATCAAGATAGCTGCTGCCCCCATGTGGTCAAAGATCCTGCCCCCATGTTGACACAAGATAGCCAGAAGGGGAGGGCAATTGGGAGGGACCAAGCCTGCAAGGGAAGGCAGTTGTGGGTGATCAGGCAAGCAAGGGAGGGTAGTTGGGAGGCACCAGGCCTGCAAGCGAGGGCAGTTGGGGGCGATCAACCCTGCAGGGGAGGGGAGTTAGGGGTGACCAGGCCGGCAGAGGAGGGGAGTTGGGGGCAAACAGGCTGGCAGGGGGGCAGTTAGACATCAATCAGGCTGGCATGGGAGTGGTTAGGAGGTGATCAAGCTGGCAGGCAGAGCGAGGGTTAGGGGAAATCAGAAAGGCAGGCAGGCGAGCAGTTGGGAGCCAGCAGTCCTGGATTGTGAGAGGGATGTCCGACTGCCCGTGGGCTAAAACAAGCAGTCTGACATTCCTCAAGGGGTCCCAAATTGTAGAGGGTGCAGGCTTGGCTGAGGGACAACCGCTCCCCAACCCCTGTGCACGAATTTCGTGCACCGGGCCTCTAGTAATAGATAAAGGTCTGTTAAAGGAAGTTGACAAATACTTATTTTCTAGAGATAACATTTGTCTTTGGTTCAGATGAGAGTCAGGCACTTGGGATGATATCTGATGGTGGCCAGAGACTCTTACTCAAAATCTGTTTGAACCTGCCCTTGCCAGGTGGCACAGTTGGTTGGAGTGTCATCCCATACACCAAAGGTTGCAGGTTCTATTCCCCATCAGGGCACATACCTAGCTTTTGGGTTGATCCCCATTTGGGGTGCATGCCAGAGATGGCACAACCATGTTTCTCTCTCACATTGATGATTATCTTTCTCTCAATCAATTAAAAAAAAAATATCCTTGGGTGGAAATTAAAAAATAAAAAAACAAAATCTTTTTGAGCCCTGGACTGGTAAATTTCACTATATGTGGCCAGTTTGTGGAATTTTAATCTTTCAGAATTAAATAAAAAGGGACAAAGTATCTATGAGCGATTTTTTTTTTTCCCCCCAGATCATTCTCTTTTCTCTTTTGTTATCTCCACCAGTTTTTGTAACCATCTGGTCTCAAACTCCAGAGGCAACTACCTTTTTTTTTTTTTTTTTTTTTTTTTTTTGGTAGCTGCTTAGGTTTTTTTTTTTTTTTTTCTTCTAAAAAACTTTTATAGTTCATTCTCTGGGTTGACATCTGCTAAAAATGAAGATTTAGTACTTTTCTGAATTCATTCTCATCATAAATTGTGATGTATATTGTATAATATGTAAAAATATACGATCTTTAAATATAGTATGTAGTAAGTGATATAAATATATTTGTTTTCAATGTTTGTCTTATTGTAGGAACCAAGTTAATTAATTACATTTACTTTTTTATATAATCTTTTGTGTGTGTTTTTTTCTGTAGTAATTTATTTTGAACTTGCTTTTTCTTCTTGTAATTATTTCTGCTCTTCCAGCAGAATTGCTCTCTAGGGTAAAATTCATTAGGTAACCTGTAAGTTAACTTTTTTCCTCTTGGATGTCTTGAAGCCCTCTGTCTTGCTCTAATTTAAGCTGTTGGTTTCCCTTTACCATCATCCTGGGTAATATACTTGGTCTCTGCCCGGTGTTGGACCTTCTTTTTCTTAGATCCCAGGTTTTCTTTTTTGATACCTTTCATGTATAAATATGTTTTTATTTTTCCTTGCATTGGTAGTGTAGCTGGGTATAAAATTAATAGCTTGAGAGCATTTTCTTCAGAAATTTGAAGGCATTTGCTTCATTGTCTTGTGGTTTCTACTGTTGTTTTAAAGCCATTTTGATTACCAGCCCTTTGTTTATAACATTTTCTGCTGTAACATTTTCTGAGCTTTTTTTCTGATATTCTGAAATCCCGAAATTTTACCATAATATGCCTTGATATTCATTTATTTTTTGAAACTGTGCTTTGTACTCATTAGGTCCTTTAAATGTAAGGATTGTTGTTCTTCAGTACTGGACATTTTCCTTTTCACTTCCTTGGTACCGTAATTTCTTTCTCTGTTCTTCCTGGAGCTTCTGTTATGTTGGATGTTGGACCATATAAGTTGATTCTCTTCTATTTTCTCTACTATTTTCTGCTTCCCTTCTGCCCTCATCAGTTTTTCCTTTTTGTTCCTTCTAAGAGATTTCCTCAATAATCTTTTAACTCTTCGTTGGAATTTTGGCTTTCAGTTTTGTAATTTTCAAGAGCCCTTTCTGTTTTTAAGCAGTATACTCCTGTTTTATATATGCCATGTTTTTTTCATTACTTGTTTTGTTGTTTTTTAATTGAGTTTTTATTTGTTCTTGGCATTATTTCTGTTCATTCTCAGATGTTTTTTTTCTTTCTGACAATCCATGAGGTCTATTTTAAGTGAGAGCTATTAAAAATCTAATTAGAAGCTCTGTGGGAATGGTGGGCAATTCAATAGTACGCTTCATTGTACTTGCTAGCTGTCTTAATTTCTCTTCGGTGGAAAACTTACTATGTTTATATAGGTTCTCTGGTTATTTTATATGTGTCTCTTTTCTTTCTCAGTTATTCTATAGATGAGCTTTAGGAAGGTGAGCTGAGTATTCTTTTCACTTTGTAGACTTCACTTAATGCTTATTTTGAGTTTATTACCATACCCTACTGTTGGTAATTTTGCAGCCTCGGAAACATTCATTGCAAACGAATAAACATCTAGTCCTGCCTGGATGAGTGAAAGGTTCTGATTTATTTGTATACATGTTTTCCTTATTCTTATGGAACAAATCCTCTTATATTGAAAATCCTTTATATATGTTATTTAGGCTTTAAAGAAAATTCACAATTTTAGAAATAGTTATTAGGCAATGCAAATTCCTTCCCTTGTTTGATTAGGTCTATAATATCTCAGTCTTAGGATCAGGTTGTTACATGATGGCTTATACCTTTAAATAAGTTATATTGGAAATAATTATAAGAATCTAGAGTTTCATTAAATATTTTTCTTAGGTAGTTTCTTTTTATTAGAGTATGTGGTAATAACTTGATTTCTAAACTATTTATTGATAATAGGGTAAATTTATTAGGATACATCAGAAAATTTGAAACATATTTTACTATCATGAATAATTCTATGGATAATGTAGATTTAAAATTAATTACTAGTAAGTTTTTTGTTATCTATAATATAATTTAAGAGATCTGTTAAACTTTTAAAAATAAGTTTGAAAAAATAAATTAAAAATAATTTATAACTTGGTACTAATTGTTTTAAATAGCGGATACTAGTTATGAAAGAGTTCAATAACTTTAAGCTATAATAATTTGCCTTTTAAACTATTCTAGGTAGAAGAATACATGTTCACTTTTAGTGAACAAGAGCATGTTCCCAAACTCAATTTTGGGTCGCCCACCTTTCACTCCAAACCATCAACATAACTTCTTCGCCCTATCACCAACTCTTTATTCACACCAGCAGCTTATAGATGCACAGTTCAACTTTCAGAATGCAGAGTAAGTATGATAATATTTTGGCTCATACCATTTATAAGTTATGTTTTCTATTTGATGCAAATCCTTTATATATAAAACATTTGAAATTAGACAAAATGTCATTATGACTTGTTTTCTTTTGATCAATGAAATAATTATTTTTTCTGAAATTGTTTTTTAAGGAACAAAATGTTTATTACTACTGTTCTTTGTTTTTGATAGCTTGTCTAGAGCTGTGTCATTACAGCAGTTGACATATGGAAATGTCAGTCCACTTTCCCCATTATTTCGAGGAAGGAAGTAAGTATATCTTAATTATCTTAAAAGAAAATTTTGCATTTCTTAGGACTGTGTAATAATGTACATTTATTAAAATTGTATGGACAATATGCCTTACATTTTTTCCCCTGGGATCTGTGTGATCAGCCCTGTCACAGAATTTTAAAACTTCCGTATAGTATTTAAAGAATTTTAGGGATCCTTTGTTGATTTATTTCTGCCATTAAAAGTTTTACATGGCATGAAGAAAACTACTTTTAGTTGAGATTTTTAACTAAATCAGATGGCTTTCTATATTGTATGCTAGGGCTGCCATAAATAAGACTGGGTGGCTTAAACAACAGAAATTTATTTTCTCATAATCTGGAGGCTAGAATTCCAAGATCAAGGTGTTGGCAGGTTTGGCTTATTCTGAGGCTTTCCTTCTTGGTTTGAAGATGGCTGCCTTCTCTCTGTGTCCTCCCATGGTCATCCCTGTGTCAGTGCTTTCTTGTTCTAATTTCTTCTTCTAAGGACAGTAGTCTTATTGGATTAGGACCTACCCTAGTGACTCATTTTAACTTCTTAAAGGCTCTGTGTCCAAATACAGTCACATTTTGAGATATTAGGGGTCAGGACTATACAATTCAGCTCATAACACCTTATTTTAGTGAAGTTTACTCTTTGCCTTATCTAAATCTTATACCAGTAAGGTTCTATGATAAATATTATTATAATAAAAATTTCTACATGACATAAAGCTTTCTATAGAGATGTTCAAGCCAATTAATTTTAACCAGTTTGATTAAATTAATGTATCACTGTAATTATAATAGAGCTTTAGAGGTAGATTATAACAATATGATTTGGCAATATTTAAAAGATATTGCTATTTAAAACGTAAATTTTTTTTTATAATTTTAGGGATCCTTTGTTGATTTATTTCTGCCATCATAAGTTAAAAAGAACACTACCTAAGAATTATTGATCACATTATATAGTAGGCATTGTTTAAGGACTTTACAAATAATAATTTGATTAAATTTCACAGCACTTTATGAAATAAATACTATTATACCTCTTCTGTTGAGAAAGCTGAAGCACACAGAAATTAAGCAATTGGTTACTATTCAAATAAGATTGGCATAACTGCGACAAGATGGCGAAGCATGCTGAGCTGAGAGGAACTGAAGAAAGAGATTTATGTCTACCTCCTTCTGACCTGGCACTACCATCAGCTGCTTGTGCTCTTGTCAACATGAATACCTTGAAGCAATTGACTATAGGAGGTGGAATATTCATCATGACCACCTGACTGCTAGCAACATTTCCAAACCTTTATACTATTCCAAATAAACCATTTGAAAAGTTGGTTCACGTTGATAGAGGAAATAAAAACACTCAGGGAAGTATTGTGAAGTGGTGCTCAAATGATGTGGAAGTTGAAAGCGATGCAATCAACATCATCGTTAAAGCAGCTCTTGCTCTTGCATATTGTATCATGAGAAAACCTCAGCAAAATCCCACGTCTCAGATCACCAGAAGGTTCAGTACACTGTACTCCACTTTATTTCCTAGCATGCAGGCCCCTTTTGTAGATCTTGACCTTGAGTTTGACTTTCATGAAACCGCAGCATGGTTAGGCTCCAAGGGCTAGAACTTGCAATCCTCAAAGCATTGTTATTTGCAGACAATGAGGACTTACCTGGACCAACAGGGGGAGAGCCTTTGTAGCACAATTAAAGTTATTCTCTGCATATGCTGAGATGAGTCCATACTTAATAATCAGAGCCCTTATAGATGAAGGCTTAACAAGAGCAATGTTCCTACCAAAGGTTGGTGGTGAGATCAGGAAGTTCCTAGATGCAGAAGAAGCATTTCAGCATTAACATGGGGAAGAGTTATTCCCTATATAAAGTCTTAAGGCTCAAAGGCCATGAGACTTTGGCACCATTATGTTTCCCTAATCTGTTCAAGGTTGCAAATACTTGCAAAAGAAGCCTTGACGGGACATTCAGAGATTACAAATCAAACAAGGAATCCTTGTCATGTCTTAGCAATAAGGATGTGGAAGAAGCTGTGAGTCGACCTCCGATTAAGAAGAGTTACTTAGGCCAAAATGATTTTGTCGACTTGAAATCAGCTTTCCGTCTGACTGAAGATGAGTTAACACAAGTAGTGGCAGAAGGAGATAAAACATCCACATCTTCATTGAAGTGTTAGTTAAGAATCTTTTTTAAAATAATATTTTATTAATTTTTTACAGAGAAGAAGGGAGAGGGATAGTTAGAAACATCGATGAGAGAGAAATATCCATCAGCTGCCTCCTGAACGACCCCCCAGGGATGTGTCCACAACCAAGGTACATGCCCTTGACCAGAATCTAACCCGGGACCCTTCAGTCCGCAGGCTTAGTGGATGATCTATCCACTAAGCCAAACCGGTTTCGGTGACTAGTCGACTTTTAGAGCTTAAAAAGAATTGGACCATTTCCTATGGCATAAAGTATTATCCTCATGAACAACTTAATATATCAATGAAGTAAATTTTATTTTTCAACAAATAATTACTTTTTAATGATTTTTTCTTTGCCTTTTATTTTGAAAATTGTTAAGCCACCAGAAAAATTTAAAGAATAAATAGTCCAGCCAGGTGTGTCTCAGTGATTGGGCATTGACCCAGGAAATGAAGTAACTGGTTTGATTCCTGGTCAGAGCATATGCCTGATTTATGGGCTCGATACCCAGTAGAGAGTGTGCAGAAGGCAGCCGATTGATTCTAGTAAATAGCCAAAAATACATTTTTCACATCCAAGAAATTTAACAGTAATTTACTAGTACTGTTATCTGAAATGTAGATCATTTTCAAATTTTCTTGTTCAGTGTCTTTTTTTTAAAAGTATCTCGATTTAGTTTTTCCTACTGATGAATAAGAACATAAGTGGACTCAAAGAGCCTTTTTTAAATATATAGCACTCAGTTCACTTAATTTATTCTCTTCATGTTAGAGTTTGGAACTTTTGTTGTTGGTGGTTCTATAAGTACTAGTAGAAACTTTCCTACAAAGTTTTCACTCCTGAGATGAAACACTGGAGACTAACCTTTGTATATAAGCTGTCCCCTAAAAATGTATACATAATTTAACAGCTAATAGCTAAATTTTGAAAATGTAATGTATTTTAATAAACACTGCCTTTATAGTTATTCAAAGGGTGTGTATACATTTTTTGGGGACACCTTAAATATGTAGTTCGTTTTTTTACATATTTTCCCCCCCTAACGTGTTTTTTTATTCCATCTTTTGTGCCGAAGATGGATATTTTAAAATTCATATAGAGATAATATTATGGACTTGCTGAAAATGTCAATATTGTCATGTTATTTATGTATTCTTAATTGTTTTCTATTTGTTATCAGAAAGTTATACCTGCAATACTAAGGTATATTGCTTGTTTTCAGGAGATTAAGCGATGAAAAAAACCTTCCTCTTGATGGTAAACGACAACGTTTCCATTCACCCCACCAAGAGCCAACTATACTTAACCACATAGTGCCTTTATCAGGTGATAGAAGATACTCAATGCCTCCGTTGTTTCATACAAACTATGTACCAGATATAGTCAGATGTGTTCCACCTTTTCGAGAAATACCAATTTTAGAACCTAGAGAAATCACACTGCCCGAGGCCAAAGATAAGGTAATAATAATGTAGATTAGTTTTACCTTTTGGGAAGTGAATATAAATAATATATTAAAAGTATAAAAAATACCTAATGTCTTGGATTGAGTAAACAATAATTTTTTGTAGCTGAATAATAATCCATTATATATATGAATTGTCTGTGACTTGTGATACCTTTTAAAAGTTAGTAACCTTTTAAAAGTTAGTAACTACTTCAGTTACTAAGTAACCATTGTTTTGATTATAAGGTGTTAGGGAGAAAATTTGTATTCATCTTTAAAATATTAAATACTGTTAGTATTGTTTCATACTTCTTACTGTGGTAATTACACATTTCTGAACAAATTTTTTTTACTTCTTTTTGTGGTGGATTAAAGTTGAGTCAGCAGATTCTGGAGTTATTTGAAGCATGTCAGCAGCAAGTAAGTGATTTAAAGAAGAAAGAACTCTGTAGAGCACAACTGCAGAGAGAAATTCAGCTATTATTTCCACGTATGTTTCCCTGTTTTTCATGCCCATTTTATATATATATATGAATTTCTGTTTTAAATTAGAAATAATATCTTATAATTCTCTTCTGTTTCTCTAGAAAGCAGAATTTTTTTGGTTGGGTCCTCTTTAAATGGATTTGGTACCCGGAGCAGTGATGGTGATTTATGTCTAGTTCTTAAAGATGAACCAGTAAGTAAAACATTTATTCTCATATTAAGTAATTTAAGAAATTTTATATAAAAATCATTGAGGAAAATATTTTAATTCTTTGGATTCTTTGTATATAGTAATTCAAGGAAACCCAGGAAATACTACCTACTTTTTCTTTTAAGTTGTTGGTACAATAAGCATAACAGGAATTTTAGCATTAATTTATTTTTAAGTTGTTAAAGCAAGATGGCTTCACTATTTTTAAAGAGCTCTGCTTCTTTTAAACAATCATTGGGTTTAGGTATGTTACTTGGATGCAGCAAAGAAGAGCATATGTCAGTATTTTCTTTTCTATTCTTTTTCTTTTTTTGATTTTTAGAGAGAGGAAGAGAGAGGGAGAGAAAGATAGAAACATCAATAATGAGAGGGAATCATTTATTGGCTGCCTCCTGCATGCCCGTACTGGGGATTGAGCCTGCATTCCAGGTATGTGCCCTTGACTGGAATGGAACCTGGGACCCTTCAGTCCACAGGCTGACTGACGTTCTATCCACTGAACCAAACCAGGTAGAGCAGTATTATCTTCTTTAATAATAATAATGAAATATATATATGTATGTATATATTATTGTGTTGTGTTTTTTTACATAGAGGAAGGGAGAGGGAGAGAGAGTTAGAAACATTGATGACAGAGAAACATTGATTAGCTGCCTCCTGCACACCTGGAGAAGTGCCTGCAACCAAGGTACATGTCCTTGACTAGAATTGAACCCAGGACTCTTCATTCCACAGGCCGATGCTCTACCCAATGAGCCAAACCAGTTAGGGCAGTATTATCTTCTTGATATATTTTCCTTCCATATGAGTTTTCAGTGGTTCAATTTTCAATCTTTTTTTACTACCTTGAAAATGCTATGGGGTTTGGAGTTCTCATTTGAGAATACAAAAAGAGTGGTTTCACTGAAATTTAAAATAAAGCTATTGTGATATATTTCTTCTGACATTTTGGCTTTGTTTCTTTTATTTTTATTAAATTTTGTTTAGTATTAGGTTTATTTGAATTTTCTTTTAACTAATACTCTTGTATATTCTAATAACAACAGTAGTTGCTAACCTGAAGCAGCCTCTTTAATATGCTGAGATCTTTTTGTAATTAAATTAATTTCAGTGTAACTTAAAAGGCTTTCTTATAGTCTACCCCTTTAAAAAGACAAGAAAAAGATAAGAAAAATCTATTGGATGGTAATATATATTTTAACTATTCCTATTATTCCACTAATAAAATTGGCTTCTATTTACTGCAAATCAGAAAGAGATTTATTTCAAGAAAGAAACTTTATTTTAGGCTTTGAAATCATACAAAGGAGACTTAAAAAAAACTCAGAAATAATAAAAGTAGTAGACTACACTAGAGTTTTAACACTTTCTCTCATGTAATTATACTATACTCAGGCACACCCCACTAACCTTTCAGTCTTATTCACATGTCTAAATCATGTCACAGCTTGTACTGAGACACCATAGATTTGAACTTTATCCTTAATCTGGATGGGGAAATAAAGCATTTTATAAAAAGTTAAAATTATGTTTATTTTTCTTGGAGAACATTGCTTTTTGTACGTTTATACTAAAGGAAAACATGGCATATATGGCTCTTTCAATCTCTCTTTTTAAAATTTCCATTAGGTTTAAAATCAGGAATTGACTTAGAAATTGTGATGTGAAAGACAACATAAACTTGGACTTTTCCTATGATGCAATTTACTCTATATTAAAAAATAACTCCAAAGAAAAGTATACTTTATATGCTTTCTCTTTGTTGAGATACATTAAGAAAATAAAACACTAAGTTAAGAAAGATAATGAAAAAACACTTTATTTTTAACTTTTCAGTGTTTTTTTCAGGTAAATCAGAAGACTGAAGCACGGCATATACTCACCTTAGTCCATAAACACTTCTGTACTAGACTTTGTAAGTCGGATATGCCTCAAGTTCATATGTCATCTGACATTAACTATTTACTTAAAATGTCTCTCTCACTTTATTTTCTGGTAAAAATTGTTTAATTTCCAGTCAGGATAGGTATTATGTGGATCCTTCCCCCACCCCCAATGAATTCCCTTTTAGTTTTGATTAAGAATAACCATTTATTCAACAATTCTTTATTGAATTCACTTACAAATATCACTGAATGCAGTGGAGAACTCGGATATATAAGCTTCAGTTCTTTTTCTCAAAAGGTTATACGAGAGAATGGTTAGGAAAGCTAAGCATGGACTATAAACAGCAGTAATGCAAAATCTTTAAAGCCATAAGAGTGATGCAGATAAAGTCTTATTCAGGTGAGGGAGAGAATTTCATTGTTTTGCAATGACATAAAATTTATGACATCAGATTTTAAAAATATGATCACTGAACATGAAACCCAAATGAATTACTCCAATAGAAAGCAAAATTGTTGATGGCCAATGTTATTTTATATAAATATGGAAGGGACCTTAGAGATCATCTAACTCAAATGAAAGTTGCCTTTTCCCCCTCCCCTTTTTTGTGGCTTTTAATAGTTAAGAAGACAGGTGACTATGGGATCAGTAATTTGCAGAAGTTTAGTTGGTTTTTGTTGGCATTAGAACTTGTACTTGGAACTTGAAGTCCTTATTTTTCACTAAATTTCACTGAATTCTTACATATAAATTCTATTTGAAGCTTATATTTTATGATTTTGATGATAAAGCATTATAACAATTAAAAAAATATTTTATGATTTTTGTACAGAGTGGAAGGGAGAGAGATAGAGAGTTCGAAACATCAATGAGAGAGAGTCATCGATCAGCTGCCTCTTGCACACCCCCTACTGGGGACATGCCTGTAACCAAGGCACATGCCCTTGACCGGAATCGAACCCAGGGCCCCTTAGTCCCCAAGCCGACGCTCTATCCATTGAGCCAAACCGGTCCCGGCAATTATAACAATTTTTTAATAAAACTTTTTATTGATTCTTAGAGAGTCAATAAAAGGAGAGGGAGAGAGAAACATCGACTAGACAGTGAAACATCTATCAGCAGCCCCTGCACACCTCGTACCTGGGATCAAACCTGCATGTGCCCTGACTGGGAATCAAATGAACAACTTTTTGGTGCACAGGACAGTGCCAACCAACTGTACCCCACCAGCCTGGGCAGAGAAATTTTTTGTTTTTAAAAAATCTGGTGTTAAATTTTCTTTAGTTAAAACATTAGGAAATTGATCATTTGGGAAAGTTTGCAATGTTTCTTATTTATACATGTCTGCATTTCCCCAAATTTCTATGATGAATGATAAATTATTTTGAACTCAGGAAAAAAATTCTTTAAAACTTTGATGGAATAAAAAAATATGTAGATATGTGTTTCTCCCCTTAGAGGTCATACTTGTTTGAATATGTCATCATTCCATGTGTCATGTTGCAAGCATTTCCACATTTAAGATTCTGTACATATGCTATTTATGACTGCCATGACATCTTGCCATGTGCTGGACCAGAATTTAGCTATCCCACTGCTGCTAGCTTAGATAGTTTTCATGTTTAAAATGCTCTGGTGAACTGTGTTATCAATGTTATTGAACATTAGACCATATTTCTGAAAACACTTGAATATAAAGCCCTCTAGATGGTATTGGAAATTCCATCTTAGGAGAATTCTACAATATCTTTTCTTTGCTTTCTTTCTCAAAGACTGTTTTCTTAAATGATTTTAGCTTAGTAAAATATTATTTTTTAAAAATTATGCATTGATACACTATGAATTTGTTAAGTATTTGCAGATACTGACATCTTTTTATCCTTTAGGTGGCTACATTGAGAGACCTCAGCTGATTCGAGCAAAAGTGCCAATTGTGAAGTTCAGGGATAAAGTCAGGTAAATACTGAATTCCCTTTTTTTCAGTTGCTTTAAATAATTTTTAGATATTCTTTTGATGTAGATAATTAAGAAATGTTACTATAACATAATAGCTTTGTCTTCATCAGTTTTTGAAATTCACTTGAGTCTTTGAAATAATTTTTGAAAATGGTCTGACCAATTTTTCATAGTTAACTGTATTTAGTTATTCTGCTTCAAATTTTGAGTATTTGAGATTACCCAATATAAAGAATATATACATATTTATGTTTCATATTTTTTTAATGATTACTTGCCTTTTGGAAATGTAATTAATGTATTAAGAATATGTCTTAATTGATGAAATTTTATGTGTCAAAGGGTTTTTTGAAAATCTGTATATTATACCTTCCTGGGTTCTGGATTTTGTAAGGGTATTGGAATTAGAATTTTTTAGATAATATCTGACTGTGAGATGTAAATATTAGATGTTGACTTTCCTTGATTAAAAAATGGTTTGTTATTTTCTGAAAAATAGGATTCTGATAAGCCAGGTTTTTCTAGCTCAGTTTTATAAAAGTAATATTGAAATATAAGTGTAAGTATATACACAGCTAATCATCATTATTCATGGATTCCATATTTGCGAATTCTTTTTTTTTTACTTAATTGATTTTTAAAAATACATATATATTTTATTGATTTTTTTTACAGAGAGGAAGGGAGAGGGACAGAGAGTTAGAAACATCAATGGGAGAGAAACATCGATTAGCTGCCTCTTGCACACCTCTATCAATATATCTGGGATGTGCCTTCCATCAAGGCACATGCCCTTGACTATAATCGAACCTGGGACCTTTCAGTCCGCAGGCCAACACTATCCACTGAGCCAAACCGATTTTGGCTGCAAATTCTTCTTGATGAAATTTATTTTGTAATCCTTCATTCCCCTAAATTAATTCTTTTACCAATTCATAGACATGTGCAAGTTCAGAAAAATTTTGAGTCACCCAATGCACACACTTCCAGCTGAGGTTAACCAATATGATACTTGGCCTTTTTATTTCAGCTTTCATACAGTCATTTTTACAGTCTAGTTAGTGATAGATTGATGGAGACTCAGAAATGGCTCTTGCTTGCTAGTTTTGTGGGGATAGGGCTTATCAAAGGAACACTGGCTTCTGCCAGCACTTCTTTCTGGGAGAAAGCTGCCCCTCCAGCTCTTGCCCTGATGCCAAACAATTCATCTCCTCCCCATATGTCTCTTGGTGCCTCTCAAGCTGCTGCCCAGTGCTGCATCTAGAAGGAGTGAGTCCAAGTAAGTCCATGCATGGACCCTTTAAAAGGAACTTCCTTGAACTCTAGCAGCCTTCCTTCCACCTGAGTCCCTGCTGATTTTTACAGCCAGAAGTTATGGGGACTATTTTTCCCAGCACTGGGACTCTGGGATTGGCGGGGGGAGGCCTAGTGTGGGGCTGGGACTTCTCACTCCTGAAGGGGGTACCTCTGCAGCCGACATATCACTCCTGATTTTTTTCTGCCACATATGGGAGTGGTATCAGCTCATTCTGTATCTCTACCCCTCTTACTAGTCTTTTTTAAAAATACATTTTATTGAACTTTTTACAGAGAGGAAGGGAGAGATAGACAGTTAGAAACATCTAAGAGAGAGAAAACCTCTTACTAGTCTTGATTTGGCTTCTTCAATGCCCTAGTTGTAGGACTTCGTTCAGTCAGTTCTGAATGATGGTTGTCCTATAGTTTACTTGTAATTCTGATGTGACTGTGGGAGGAGGTGAGTACCACAATTAGTTATACTTCCATCTTAACCAGAAGCCTCATAGAAAAACTCTTATACATTAAGTAATCTTATATTTTGAGCATAGTCATTTTTTTATAGATCTCATTAATATTGTCCCTTTTTCTAAATTATAAATTGCATATCTTTACTTTCAAAGAAGTGTCTTTGGCATCCTATACAATAAAAGTCTAATATGCGAAATGTCTGGTCATTGGTTCAACTAAAGGGTAATATGCTAATAATGTTAAGGCTGCTCAACTGCTTCCTATGACGTGCATTGACCACCAGGGTGCAGACGCTCCGAGTGGTAGGTTAGCTTGCTGCTGGGGTCTAAGTGAGATGGGCTGGATGTGCCCGGGAGCCCGCCTGTAATCCCTCCCCAGCTGGCCAACCTCCCATGTCCCTCTCCAACCCCCATCGTACATCGGTGGGGTCCATTGGCCTGGACTGCACCCTCTCACAATCTGGGATCCCTCGGCGAATGTCAGAGTCACTTTCTGCCTGATCCAGCAGGCCAGGCTGAGGGACTCCACTGGTGCACGAAATCATGCACCAGGCCTCTAGTAATATTATAATTTACCAATTTTTTTGAAGGGAATATATAGACGAAGCTTTTATTTTTTTATTGTTTGCCTCTTCTTTGTTTCTGCTTTTTAAATATCAAAGACTGCTCTAATTTCAAAATAATTGAGAATGTGTACCTTAGTGGGATAACTTGTCTAGAAATGTTTTTGGTCACTTTTTTGGGGGGGTTTGGAAAAGATTGGACTGTAAAACTTTACATTTCTTCTATTAAAGGATAATTGAAGTTTTACCAATATATTATGAATCTTTTCAACAGTAATAATCCCGTTTTATATTTTTAAAACACACTAAGTCATATTCAAATGATATACTGAGTACATTAAATTCTTATTTCTTTAGTGCTTCACTTTATGGTCTTAGGCCTATACTGTTTTTACGTAGTTGAATGTACATTCATTTATTAGTGAGGTAATTTAATTTGTACTTGAGCTAAAGTTTTTCTATTTCTTTTTTTATAGTTGTGTGGAATTCGACTTGAATGTAAACAATATTGTTGGAATAAGAAACACATTCCTTCTTCGAACTTATGCATATCGTAAGTTTTTGTTTTTGTTTAGTTCTAAATAATTATCAGCTTTTTATTTATTTGTCTTTCTTTTGTTCTTTTTAAAGATGTTTACAGTAAATACTGACATCTCTTTGTGTTTATAATGTCCTATTATATGTAAAATATATTGCTTCACTAAAATTAACATACTACCAAAATTAAAGGACAATAAGATGAATTTTAATAATTAGCAGTTTTTAAAAAGGTAGCTATGCTTTAGAAGTAAGATACATTTATGGTGAACACTGTTTAATACACAGGGAGACGGTACTCTTTTTATTAGCATGGAGCTGGGAAATTATGGAAACGTTCAAAGAAACTATAATGTCTTCTTACAATTTTTAAGTTTTAATTTTACTTTCAGTTGAAAATCGAGTTCGTCCATTAGTACTGGTGATTAAGAAGTGGGCAAGTCACCATGATATAAATGATGCCAGTCGTGGTACTTTAAACAGCTATAGTCTTGTATTGATGGTTTTGCACTACTTACAAAGTAAGTATTATGGGTTTTCCCCCATTTTTAAAACGGAAATACAGCTAAACTTTATTATGGTGTCCTTCCTATTGACCCTACTTCAAATAGTATTGTTTTAAACATTTACATCTAAGGTCCGTAGATCATATTTTCTGTTTCATTGCTTTGAACACTTGTTTTAGAAATGTTGCTCTCTGGAAAATGCAGTTTCACAGTGCTTTTGTTTTTTTTCTCAGTTTTCTGTATTCACTTTTGTATTCAAAGAACTTTTCACCACTGTATTGTGGAACAGTTTTCTTTAGCAGATGAATGAATGTTCAGAAGGCCTATAAAAATAAACTCACATACCATTCATCATGTTTTTTATTTTTTTACTTGAAATGGGAATGAAATTATTTTCCTGTTGGTCAAAGAAGCATTTATTCCCTGTGAGCTGGTATGGAAATAGGATGAAAACTTGATGTTATTATAGTAGAAGACAATTTACTAGGATGTCTAGAATCTGATCTGTTTTGAGTTATTGTTACTACCACAGTTTAGAAAGTGATGTAGTATTTATGTTCCTATCCTTTGACTTAGTAGTTCTATTTCTAGGAATTTATTGTAAAGTAATAATCAGGGATGCTTGCATGGATTTATTTATAAGGCCATTTTTCATAGTACTGAAATAGTAAAATATTAGAAATATACTAAGTTTTTAGGAATATGGATGATTAAATTAATTATAGTATATCCCAATGTGAAATATACACAGCTACTAAAAATCATGTTTTTTAGATGTTTACTGATATAAGAAAAGATTCAGGATACACAATATGACACCAAATTTATTTAAAAAATAGTGACTAGCCCCTGCTGCTGTAGCTCTGCTGTTAGAGCATTGGTTTTGCACCAAAGGGTCATTGGTTTGATTCCTGGTCAAGGCCACATACCTGGATTGGCGGTGCGATCCCAGGTTCTGGTCAGAGCTGGTGCTGGAGCAACCTATTGATCTGTCTCTCTCACATCAATGTTTCTCTCTCACCCCTTCCCCCCTCCGCCCCAGAGATCAAACCCATGACCCTTTGGTGCATTAACCAATGCTCTACTCACAGAGCTACACCAGCCAGGGCTAGTCACTATTTTTTAAATAAATTTGGTGTCATGTTGTATATGTATGTCATGTTATGTATCCCCTCCTGCCCCTTTCCACTCTCTCTAAAAATCAATGGAAAAAATATGCTCGGGTGAGGATTAAAATTTTTTTTTATATTATATTTGAGTTTGTATGTATATACTCATATGTATAACAAATATTGAAAAGGTATGTGCCAAAAATTTATCAGATTACTTATGGATAGCGGGAGTTGTGTCCTTTATATGTGACTGTAATTGTAGATGTTTTAAAATATATATTAAATAAGAGTGTTTTTATTTGATGAAATCAGGTGATTTTTTTTTTTATTAATTTGGTGAGATTTAAAATAGTTAAACGGGTCAAAGTTTTATGAATCACTTATCAGGAAAATATTCAAGCTAATTATTATATATGTATTTTTACTGCTGACTAATCTGAGATATACATTAATTTGATGACTGATTTGCTTTTATAGTAGGATTTGAAACATGATATTAGCTGTTTTAGATACTACTTCATAAATCACTAATTATTTTGTGTCCAATTTTGCAGTTCATTCTAAAATACCAATTACTTTTGAGGCTTTTTGTTATTGTTAATCTTCACCTGAGGATATTTTTTCCATTGATTTTTAGAGACAGTGGAAGGGAGGATGTGGAGGTTTGGGGGAGAGAAACATTGATGTGTGAGAGACACATTGATTGGTTGGCTTCCACACGCCCCCAACCAGGTACATTGTACTGGGAATTGAACTCTCGACCCTTTAGTTCCGGGCTGATGCTCTGCCACAGAGCCACACTGGCCAGGGTATTTTTGATGCTTTTTTAGTGAACTCTGTACAATTCACAGTTATTAAAACTTGAAGAGATAAGAAATATTTCTTATAAAATATAAAGAATAATATGACAAACTTCATATCACCACCTACTGTCTATTCATGATTTTTAAATTTTAGTTGTGATTTAAAAACTAGAATTGACTGAAGCATTTAACATGCATGAACATCTATATGTGCCCTATTTCTTCATTCTTAATGTGTTACATTATACTTTTTAATTTGATGTTCTTCTTTAGAAAAATGTACTTTAATCACAGATAGCCCATGTGATTTTGTAAGGAAGTTGAAAATTTAAACGTAGTATTTTACTAGTGTAATGAAATTTGGTTTAGACTTTGTTAAACATATTTTATTATTGACATAGTGGTCCCATTTACTGAGTTGATTTGTAATTAATGTACTATCATCAACGATTTCTAGGTTCTAGGTCTTTGTTAAAGAACATCAGCAACTCTGTCCTTTGGCAAACTTAAGCCATTCCTTGCTAGAAGTAATTAGAGGCATTGAAATAAATAATTGCTTTTGTTTCACACAAGAGTCTGCAAGGTGTATTGAGCAGTTCAAGGTCTACCATAATGAACTAGTGTTTATTATTTTGGCCATGTTATTCTACCTCTCTGGCCTTAATATTCTCATTGATACATGAATAGTTAGATTAGATGACTTTTAAGTTACCATTAACTTTTTAATTGCTTTAATATTTTTTTCTGCCAGGAACAGATAAAGGAAATAGTATGTAGAAAGGTTGAAAAGATTAAAAATATTCCAAGAATGAATTTCAATAGTCAGTAATAGACTACATATGTATAAATGACTGCTACAGTACACTAATTGCTTCTGTCATGACTAGTGTTTTTAAATCTATATTTGTCAGACGGAGGTTTATTTAATGATATTTCTGCCCCCAGAAGCTTCCAAATTACTCTTTGTCTATGAAAAGAACTTAAACCAATGGTTAGTATTTGTATTACTCTCCTAGCATTCTAATTATAATTCTAGAATGAAATAAACTTAAAAAATATTCTCTGTAACCTTTCTTTATCCTTTTTTAAATTACAGTTTTGATTTATTATGAGAATACAGTAGGAAAGGAATTTAGGTTTTTAACTAAGAAAACTAATTTCTAGTAAGATTTTCCAATATATAATAATTATTAGAAAGCCATGAAAATGTTATATAAATATAGAGACTTTTAGAATTAAAGTGACTAGGGCTTGAGAGTATTTGTAGAGTCTTTTTGAATTTTGTGCATTTGAATACCTCTGGGGAAAGATGTAACCTTGTTTTCTAAGTGATTTTGGTAAGTAATGAGTGAGTAAGTTTTTTCTGATATTCCCAGTCACATTCTAGAGTATTCTATTCCAATTTTCAACTTGGGAATGAAGCATGATACAGGAGGGAAATTTAAATACTGTGTGATAGAAAATTATACATTTGTAATTATAGTTGGAGATCTGTTGACTGTCATGGTTGATTATATGTATATAAATGTATTCCAGATATCATTTTAAAATGTTTTTGCTAAATATCCAGTTGAAAGCGAATTAAAGATTATTACTAAGTTTATTTAATTATATACAACATATTTCTAATTCTTAAATTATCATAGATTATCATATGATGCTATATTGGTCTTTAATCTTAATGAAATATATACATATATTTGTATTGTGACATAAAACATTATATATTAGTTATTTGTTATGTTGTGACTATTGGGAACTTACTGTATAATGATGTGAAATTACTGTTAATGAATTTAGTAAGGTTGGATTTGGGTAAAGCTATTGAAGGCTGAAGAATGACAATTAAAAATATAGTAACGTATGAAGATAATTCCTGTGCATGAAATTTTATTTATAGAATGTTGGTTCATATCTCCTGATTTAGATTCCTAAAATTTGCTGAGGCTTTCTTTTAAAAATTAAGTAATAAAGTTGAAGATTTTTCTTTGTTTCTTTTCTTCAGTAGATCAGTTTTCAGAAACTATCTTAATTTTAGTGTTATTGTTTGTTAGAAGAAATTAAATACCATAAGAAAGGCATAATTGTTATGGAACCGTTGTTGGACTGTATCATTGGACTGTACTTAAAATTTTTTTTTGATAGTTACATTCATCTTAACAATGTCCATTTAATATCTGTAGAACAATTCTTGTCTTGCTTATTTTGTGTGCGTGTCTGATGTTGGATCAAATGATGTGTGTCTATTTATTGATGGCTTATTTTAAAACCACATAAGGAACATTGGTTTACATTAAAGTATGCACAGTTTACTAACAAACCTTAGATTGCCAACTTAAATATATTCTGAATTAAAATTTTTAGAAATCAGAATTAACTTCACAAAATATATGGAAACTGTTGACTTTTAGCAGAAACCCTGATAGATTCATATCTGAGGGTCTTAGCTGACAAATTACTGTTTTGTAAAATGAATTACATGAATCATGGAAGCTTTAAACTTTTTTTCTTATAGCCCTACCTGAACCCATCCTTCCATCCATCCAAAAAATATACCCAGTAAGTGTTTCTTATAAATTATTATAATACATATTGTGACCAGCATATGGGGACTATTTATGTAGTGTTAATGTAAATATAACAGTAGTAATAGTTACATAATCTTCTAAGTATTGATAACATTTTCTCTATAGGCTAAGGCATTGGCCATTTGAACATTAAAAATATACTTTTTCAGAAGACTGATAATTTATTTTGTTATTGGCAGACAATCTGGTCATTTTTTTTAATGGTGGAATTTTGTGCATGAAACTCATGATTATCCCTAATGGGAGTTAAATTAGTTTTCTTAAAATACAGTTTTCTTAAAATACAGTTTTATATTATTTCTTTAGTTAGTTAGCTCAGAAGTTTTCAGTCCATTGTATGTATATTTTGAAAGCAGAGGGGGGAAGTTAAGAAATTGAACAATTGGATAATCGTATCTTTCATTTGATTTTATTAAGTAATACAGCAAAAAAGGTAACAATAGTACTCTATCCTTGTGTGTAATAAGAATCCTGTCTAAGCAATTTGGAAATACTTAAGAAATAAAGTGTACCTACTAGAAAAAGTTTATTATGTTCTCAGTTTGAGTTTGGAGAAAACCTTGGTAATGTACATATTTGCAATGTATGTGAATACTTTTGTTTCTTCCATTTTTTGTGTTCTTTCCAGCATTCTCTGTTACCTTGTTTTATAGTCCTACTATTTTTGTTTTCTTCCATTGTCAGCCTTGTTCCTTGTTTTATTTGAAAATATTATTTAAGCTACTTGTTTAGAATGTTTAACCAGCCCACAGAACCCACATAATTTTTACTTGTTTTTTAAACTTACTAAATAGTCATATTACAAAGTAAAACGTAGTATCTAGCTTTAGTGGTCAGCATTCAAAGAACTTAATTATTTTGTATGTATCACAATATATAATAAATACACTTGACATAGAACCTAAATTTAAATATAATTTAATTCTTGATATTGAAAAGAACTGATCTTATTTTTGAACCTCAGTTATTGCAATAATTGCAATACATATATGCAAGATGCTGGGTAAATGAAAGGTTTTCTGTAATCGAGTTTTGCTGTAGAAGGACCTCCTGGTTTATGGTGGGTCATCCTCTAGAGGACACATTTATAACAACCACCTTTTGGCATTTGTATATCTTATTTTCCTCCTTTAAAAAAAAATTCAACTATTATGAAGAACCATAATGAGTTACCAATAGTACTAGGGTATGCTTTTAAACATGAAAAATGAAACATGCTTTCACTTGAATAACTTTGAAAAGACAAAACATTTTGGTAAAGATTTTTTTTTAAAACTGACAATGAAACGTGGTTGACATGGTTCAGTTGTTAGGCATTGATCTATGAACCAGGAGGTGATGGTTCGATTCCCAGTGGGGCACAAATGATTCTCATCATTGATGTTTCTATCTTCCTTCCTCTCTAAAATATATTGAAAAATAAAATGATACCAAAACTATTATTTTAAAGTTGACATTACTTAAATTTTTAAAAGCATAGGAAGTTAATTTTGAAATAATACATTATAAATTTTAGGACCTAACCATACTGCATTATTATATAAATGGACAGTTAAAATAATGATGATGCCTGGCATATATTAAATTATGAATATTTAGGTAATACTATTGCTGCTAAGCTTTATGTACATTATGTTACTTAATCATTAAAATAGCCCTATGAGTACCATTTTCTTTATATTATAGATGAAGAATCTTTGCAAAGCTGGGTAACTTCATATAATAGAAGAACAAGGTTTCAGACCTAAGTGGTCTGACTCCAAAGCTTATGCCCTAATCACCTTACTATAGCACTCATACTTTATGTTAAATACTTATTTATATTGATTTCAAAACTTTAAAAATCTCATTAAAATCTGATATAATGTAACAAATTTATTGATCAGCTTTCTAACATACATCACCAGATTGGTGGTGACCTGTATACAATAAAGAAAGTGTGGTAGAACTTCAGTATATTATTTAGATTTTTCTTTTTCATGCAAAACTCTACTTATTCTATATCTACTTACTCTTTACATCTATACATTTTTTTAAGGAAAAGTTGCCAAGTAAAAGTTTAGCCAGTCTAATTTATTCCAGAAGGTCTTTAATTGTCCAGATTTCAAACTTAGAAGATGAAATAAGAAATTATGGGCACAGCCTCCCATTCTATCTAATAAAGAGGGAATATGGTAATTGACTGTCATGCCCTCACAAAGATGGTGGCACCCATAGCCAATAAGGAGGGAATATGCTAATTGACTCCCACACCCTCAAAGATGGTGGTACCCACAGCCACAAGATGGTGGCGCTCAGCCCCCTGGGGCGGCAGGTGTGCGGCACAGCTGGCTGCCTCCTGGTGGGTCTGGCCATTCTGTGTGCCAGCCCCCAGCCACTCAGGGCTGGCCTGAGTGAGGCACAGGCAAGACTTGGATGGCGGCTGCCCAGCAGCCCAGGGCTGTCTGAGGCTCAGGTAACCAGGGCTGGTTGAGCATTGTGCTACTGGCAGTGGCAGCAGCAGAGGTGTGATGAGGGTGTCACCTTCTGATCGCTGGGTCGCCTCCTGCCCCTGAGGGCTCCTGGACTGTGAGAGGGGGCAGGCCGGGCTGAGGGAACCCCTGAGTAATGGAATATGGCAGGAGATGTTTTTGCCGTATTATCAGACAATTGTATTGACAAAAGAATAAAACTTTTCAGTTGTTTTTCAAGGGGTTGCTTTTAAATTTTTTCCTTATCTTGGCATTAATGAAGAGAAATGGAAACTATGTATTGTTAAAAATATGAGCATTTAACACATTAAGCACCATGTAAATCTTTGATGACTGACACTATACTTTCCATCTGGAAGACAAAACAAACTGGGTGCTTAATGTGTTAAATATCATTTTGAATTGATTCATTATACATTTGGTTATGAGAAGCCCAAGATAAGATATAACCTTAAAAAGTTATACAACCCTAGCTGGTTTGGCTCAGCAGATGGAGTGTCAGCCTATGGACTGAAGGGTCCCAGGTTCGATTCCAGGCAACAGCACATGCTCAGGTTGCGGGCTTGATCCCCAGTAGGGGGTGTGCAGGAGGCAGCTGATCAGTGATTCTCTCTCATCATTGATGTTTCTATTTCTCTCTCTCTCTCTCTTCCCTCTCTGAAATAAATAAATAATACATTTCAAAAAGTAATACAAATGTCTTTTCAATAAAAAAAAAAAAAAAGAAAAAAAAGAAAAGAAAAGAAAACCCCCACATAAAAAACAAACAGCCTTTGCTTATTTGGCTCAGTGAATAGAGTAGACTCAAGGGTCCCAGGTTTGATTCCAGTCAAGGACATGTACCTTGGTTGCAGGCACATACTCATTAGGGAGTGTGCGGGAGGCAGCTGATCAATGTTTCTAACTCTCATTGATGTTTCTAACTCTCTATCCTTTCTTCCTCTGTAAAAAATATATATATATAATATATATATATTTAAAAAACAAAAAGTCCTTTCTACATTAAAAAAATGAAACAGTAGTAATCCAAAATCTTATATAATAAAAGGCTAATATGCAAATCGACCCAATAATGGAACGACTGGTTGCTGTGAAATGCACTGACCACCAGGGAGCAGATGCTTAAACACAGGAGCTGCCCCCTGGTGGTCAGTGCACTCCCGCAGGAGGAGCACCACTCAACCAGAAGCCCTGAGCCGGGCTAATGGCTGGCGAGTGCAACAGCGGTGGTGGGAGCCTCTCCTGCCTCTGTGTTAGTTGGACATCCACTTCCCCACCCTACCCCCAAGGGCTCCTAGACTGCGAGAGGGCACAGGCTAGGCTGCGGGATCCCCCCATGAATTTTATGTGCTGGGCCTCTAGTAGATGTTATAATGCTGTCTAGGTTACTCAGTTGATTATAGCGTCATCCTGATATGCCAAGGTTGCAGGTTCAGTCCTTGGTCAGGGCACATACAAGAATCAACCAGTGAATACATTGTAATGATGGAACAAATCTATGTTTCTCCCCCTACCCCCCATCTCTCTAAAAATCAATAAATAAAATAAAAATAGATATTACTATATATTGTATGAGTTAAGTTTTTTCCATGAATTTAGGTTATAATTTTAAGGATGCCTTTTTTCCTTTTGGCTCTTTATGTGCTTCCTAATATGTTAGTGTAAATTCTCCCCACCCCCATCATGTCCACAGTAGTATAACTGCAATGGGGGATATCTGTTTTTGAAAAAAATCTTAGATGAAATTTTTCTTAATGCAGAGAATTTTTCAGTAATGTGAACCAAAAGTGGGAATTTTTTAAGGTTTCATGAAATTCCTATTTACTAGTACTTGTAGCTTCTTTTGGACTTTGATATTCATTTGTTTGTTTGTTTATTTATTTACATTTCTTCAGTATGTATAACATGGCCCTTTTGTATATGACTGTGAAAAAGAACAGTGGAGCTTAAGAGACTGGCCAAATTGGTTCAAGGTCATTCAATCATTTTAGTAGACTAGGTCTCACAACTTCAGTTTTAATCTCACAATTGCTGATACTTTTCTTTAAATTATTGAATAAAATAAAAAATTGAAAGGAAGTCCAAACTGTGTTAAACTTCAGGTAAGAAAATAACATATTTTTAGCATCAGTTCATAAATTGTATGCTTACTATGCTAGGTGCTAGAAATCAAAATTAGTAGCTTTCATAGCTGAAAGTATTAAACAGTGACCCACTTTTATTTTCCTTGTCACTTGAACCTGTTATACCTTTGTCTTTAATTTGCCAGAAACTAATATTTAAGTTTTACAATTTTAAGTAATGTCCTAAGTCCAATTTTTTACACATAATAAGAGACAAAAGATGGTAGAGGCAGTATATCTGCTCTTCCTTCTGCTTTTACTCTTTATTATAAGTTGGGGCTTTGTTCTTATTCCCCCCTAGTTTAAGAAAAAAAATTAGTATATCTACTTGTAATGCTAAATAGGTTAGAAGTGGAAGGGGAAGTGTAAAGGTTAGCAATCCCAACTTTATGAATTGTGTTTTTGGAGTAGAGTTTTCTTTTTCCTGATAGAATAATTTTCTGGTGGTTAAAAATTATTGATAGAATTATAAATAATGTGGTAGAAGAGGGAAGCTTAAGATTTTCTCGCTGCTTTGTTTTTTAGTGATTATTTTTTATGACTACCATTAAATAGATGCAATGTCCCAATTCTCTCTCTATTACAATGCAGTTATCTTGAGTTATTTAAACATTACTAATTTAATTGATATCAATAAACCCAAGATTGATTTGTTAGAGTTGGGAACGTTAAGTGTAGTGGTCATTCTGTTGCCTTAACCAATTGCTTTTTTGAAAAAAATTTCTATTTTGATGGCCAAGGGGAGTATAGAAAACCCTTTCTGAGGGCACTATGCAAACTACCCTAGGAAACATTTTCTTTTTCACTTGTCAATTGTTTTAACAATCAGCTGTCCTTTCCCCACTTTTTCAGATCCTGGATTAGGGCAAGCAGTCAGTTGCACAATTGGAGTTTATATTTAGCAGTGAAAAACAAGATTAGTTACTAAATTCTTTTATTTTCAGGCATACAGATTATATATATATATATATATATATATATATATATATATATATATATATATATATATATCCATCCTGAAGCTGTATAGTTCATTTAGTGTGTTTTAGAGCCAGAAACTTGCTGCTATTAGAGAAAAAATTAAATATAAAAATGAATGGCATACCATAGGCAAAAAGTATAAGTACCAATTAGTATTCTTTCTAAGAAGTGTGCTGTTGGGTCCTGGATTACAAGCAAATGATAATTTCCCTTAAGAATTTTGTGGTAAAACTTTGCTTGCTGGTATTTTCCTTTCTTCTGTTCCCTGCCCTCTTTGTCCTTTCAAGTTCAATTGATGTTGGATGTCTATCTTATCTTCCCTCTAAGTTACAAATTAAAAAATTTTTAATTGGTATAGGTATTATTCATTTGTTAAAGTTATTTTTATGGCCTTTGAGAGAAATTTTAACTGGCAGTTAGAAAGAGCTCTTTTACCTGGTGTTTGATATAACCTTTATAAAGTGCAACTGCTTCTTATAGAAATAATTAAAAAGGAGAGTCATTTGTAAAGAAATCTATATGTTATTGCATGGAGTTTGGCATGTACAGTAAGATTTTATTTATGAGTTAGAAAATCTTTGTTAGCATTCAGATCCATTGTTTGTTATATCTCAGCTAAGGATTAGATTATCTTAGATTTTCAGATACTTTCTGGCCTACTTCAAACACTGGTAAACTTAAGTGTAAGAAAATCTTCAAATTTCCAAAATACCAACATAAAAAAATTTCTTCTCTCATTTTCAGAGCACTTTATTTAGATCAGCATAAAGTTTTTAGTATATGTTTTATTAAAAAAAATTTTATTTTTATTTTTTAGTGTATGTTTTAAATGGCTTTACATTTCACCCCCTTTTTTTCCTGACAGGAATCTTTTAGTCCTGCTATACAACTGCACCTTGTACATCAAGTTCCATGTAATGTTCCTCCTTACCTCTCAAAGAATGAATCAAATCTTGGGGACCTCTTACTGGGCTTTCTTAAGTATTATGCTACGGAATTTGAGTAAGTGAAACCTCAAATTGTATTTATTCATTTTTATATAAGTGAATGCTACAAATTTGGTCAAAGGTTTATTTTTGTCAACTGCAGTGCTGTAAACTTGTTCAGAAATGTATAATTTATAAAATTTAACATCTAAAGATTAATTATTAGAAACTAAGTAGAGTTCAAGAGTTCTCAGTTCATAGAATATGACTAGGGGTTGTTCACAGCTCTTCTGATCAATTTAGGAAAGCAAGAAGGAGAGGGAGAAAGGACTTAGGAGTTATAAAAAATTAGAGAAATACAGTGACCCCAGAATCCCACACTGAAGAGGTTTGGAGAGGGAATAATAATAGTAAGAGTAATAAATTGCTATTACTAGGTGGGGTAAACATTCTAAACAGGTTATATGTATTATCTCATTCAGTTTACATTATCATCATGTAAGATGGTATTATATTAGTATTATGCCCATTTTACCAGTGAGGCATATAAAGAGGTTAAGAAACTTGTACTAAGATCACACAACTTATAAGGGGAGTATTTAAAATAATTTTGATTACAAAATTCACACTCTTAGCTATGATACTTTACTACAATGTCTTATGTGCTATGATGTAGTAACTTTAAAGAAAATTGACTTATATACAATGATTTGAAACCTATGGCATGAAAGATAAAATGTTTTTTAAATTTCTCAAAGTAAAGCTTATACTGGACTGTTTGAACCTGCTTAGTTAAAGTTGTTTCTCCACTTAGTTAAAGTTGTTCAGTGTCAGATAGTGGGTACTTGACAAATATTTATAAATAAATAAATTTTGAAGCAAAAAGTAAGATTGTAGACCTGATTCAAAGATCCTTAAGATTACTAAAATTGCTGATTAAGGTTAAGAAAAGGAGTAGGAAAAGTGCTGGAAGAAAAGAGTTCAGTAAGACTGAAGTTGTGCTAGACCAGGTTAAAAATGACCTAAGTATAAGTGCAGACAACAAAGACAAAAAGGAAGGAACCTTCATTAATATAAAGATGAAGAAAGATTTAAGACTATATGAAACATAGGACATAAACTGTAAAGGTTACTTGAGTTCAGATATTGCAGTAACAAAATAGCTAATATTTAGTGAATATTTCTTTATCTAGTGTCCTTTTAGAGTATGCTCAGTGATTTCCCATGTATTATTTCATTTAATCCTTAAAATAACCCCCTGTCAAGCTTAGGGGGAATTTGTGAACCTGCTTGTGTCAATACAGCAGATAGTGAGAAAACTGGGATTCAAATTCATGTCTGACTACAAAACACACTCTCATTTGTTAGTCCATTTTGGCATCATCTGTTATGTCATATAAATTAAGGATTGGGAGAAGTTTGTGTAGAAGAAAAAGGATACACATAGGAGAAAGTTATATTTCTGCCATGTGTATGGTTTAGAGCACCTACGTACAAACACCTTGAAAATCGCTGCTTTGTTGGACTAAAACAAGATGGTAGTTGTTTCATTTGTGTGTTAGTTTAGCATTGACAGAAACTAGCTTGCTGTGCCAAATGATACTGGCTAGGATGCTGATGCTTGAAAAGGATTTTGAACTTTTGTATTCATTTGTTATCATGATGATATATGATTTACAAGCCATCTTCCTCTACTCTTTCATCATATAGAGCATTTGTCAAGTGCATTATTGTTTCATACCAGATATTTTCAGAAATTTGACTGTAGGGAGCACAGCCAAGAATGCAGTCATGGTGATGAACTAGGTGCTGTTAAAATTCTGATAGCTATTAGAAATGTTTGTAAGACTATCTTCTGAATTTTGAAATATTCAGTTAAAAAATTCTCTATACTTGAAGACAGAATTAAGTGCCTTTTAAGAGATGCTTGAGTATACGGCATAAATGTTGCAGATATTTTATGTGGCTATTGAAAAAATTACTAAGATGTTTTTACCTAGTTCACCCATAACTTTCTCCTAAACTTTGCTGCTGAAAATCTTATAATGAAATCAGACTTCTAAAACTGTACCTGGGAAAAGGGAACTGACAAAATAAGGGGAAAAAAGAATTAGGTGACTCAGGGAATCTTGAAAAAAATAGTGGGGATTGAGGGTAAGAGATAAACCAAAAGACTTGTGTCCTTATAAGCATAACCAATGGACACAGACAATAGGCGGGTTAGGGCCTGTGCTGGGGGACGGGAGCATGCTGGGAGAGTCAATGGGGGGAAAGGAAACATATGTAATATTTTTTAATAATAATTTAAAAAAATAGATGTAATAATTTATATTTTAGCAAGACAAAAGTTCTAAATATTATAGACTCATAAATATTGGAGAGTCTATGAATTTTATTTTTGTATTTTTAAAAAATATGTTTTTATTGATTTCAGAGAGAGGCAGGGAGAGGGAGAGAGATGAGAAAGAATCATTGATCAGCTGCCCATACTGGGGTCAAGCCTGCAACCCAGGCAAGTATGTGCTCTGACTGGAAATTGAACCGTTACTTCCTTGTTCATGGGTAGATGCTCAACCAATGAGCCATACCAGCTGGGTTTTATTTTATAGTCTTTATTTCCTGATTGCCTAATCACGTTTTATTGCTAGTCTGTTTAATTAAAAATACATACCTACATACTTAAACACATTGTAAAAAAAAAAGTGGGGGGGGATTACAAGACCCAATCCTTAAATCTCCTTTTTTTGTTCTGTCTTTTTTCCCACTCATTTTATTTAATTAATAAATCATTGAATGCCTACTGTATACCAAGCTATTTTTAATGCACTGGGGATATAGCATTTAACAAAAGAGAGATGATGACTCAAAACTGGCATGAATGCTTGTCTTCATGGAACTTACATTGTATTATAGTATGGAGGGGCATTTGAATTACTGTTAATGTCTAGATGCTGTAGGTATTATAAAGGAGAATGGTCTTATTCTTAAGAGATGAATGCCAAAGGAAAAAAGAATGAAGTTTTGTTATATCTACAGCTTAACAGATGGTTCCGTTTAAAACATTCATGTACACAAGCAAATGGGGCAAAATCTTAACAATTTTTGATTTGTTTTTTAATTTTATGCTTTTCAGTTTATCTCTTTGAAAAATTTCATAATACAAAGATGAAATGAAAATGAGATTAGGGATGAGAAGGAACTAATAGAGTCTAAAAATGAAGAATCAGGAGGTAAGCCAGTAGAATGTAGTGTCTTGAAATCCAAGGGAGAAAAATGTTTTGAAGAGAAGGGAGTGATTTATCTGTCACATTCTTTGATATGTTCAAAATGAAGACTGAAAGCTGATCATTGGTGCATTGGTCCACATGGAGACCACTCATTGGGCCTTTGATGAGCAGTTTCTGTGGAATAATGGGGATAAAAGGCATCATTGGAGCGGGCTTAAGAAAGAATAGGAGAATCAGATACAGATAGGTTAGTGTATATAAACTCTAGAGGAGTTTACATACTTGTAAAGGGGAGCCGAAAAATTGAGTAGAAATTGAAGGATTAAGTGGAGTTGAGTTTTTGGTTTTGTTTTTAGAAATAAGAAATAACCTATTTTGATGACAAAATGGATATCAGAAAAAGAAAGTTAAACAGTATACATACTTATTTAAGTCAAGAAGAGTTGGAATCTATAACAAAGTGGAATAAAAACAGATAATTAATAATAAGAAGAAAAAACTGAGCATGTACATGTATACAGATGAATATATTTGGTAGGAGCTAGTGGGAATTATCTTTGATTGCTTTGGGGTTTTTTTGTTTTGTTTTTAGTGAAGTGAAGCATGAATAGCAGCTGGGACTGGTTAGAGAGGAAATTTGAGAAGTGAGGAGAAGATATGAATTGTCATGCAAAAGAGTAAAGAAACTATGAAAATAAAGTATGATTGATGTGTAGTAGCATATAGGATCCTTTGAGCTAGGACATAATGAATTTAAAGTGATCATGAATTAAAGGTCAGCAGGGTTACATATTTTCCTTCAGCCATGTTTAACTCCATGGAAAAGGATAGGAATAGACAAGATTTAATTATGGTTGTGTTTCATCCAAGGAAGTTCAGTGCAGTAAGAGCAGGTAAGAGAGTTAGGATATACAAAGGAGTTTTAATAATTTGACTATAGACAGAATATATTAAATTGAGTCTTGGAAATGTAGGTGCAGGAATGCCTATAGCACATCTGGTTGTAGTTTCTAATAGTGATAAATATTGGCATGGGGCCTAGTAAGAAGGTTAGAGCTGGAGAAAGTATTATTTTTGTAAAATAAGAGAGTATTGAGGCCTGATATAGGTGCTCTAGCATTACAAGAGAAATGAAAGAAGGCCCTGATGGACACCAGCATTTAAAGAGTCAGACAAAGAGCCAGTCAAAACAAAACTCCAGGATTAGAATAAAATTTTCTCTCTGTTTAAGAGGTTTCAAATCCCTAACAAAGTTTTTTTTTTTTTTTTTTTTTTTTTTTTTAATATATTTTATTGATTTTTTTACAGAGAGGAAGGGAGAGAGATAGAGAGCTAGAAACATCGACCAGCTGCCTCCTGCACACTCCCCACCGGGGATGTGCCTGCAACCAATGTACATGCCCCTGACAGGAATCGAACCTGGGACCTCTCAGTCCGCAAACCGACGCTCTACCACTGAGCCAAACCGGCTTCGGCCAAAGTTTTCTTTTTGTTTGCTTTCCAACTATTAATAAAAAACAAAACTATATACATTTGTTCACTTAATTTGACTAGATGAAGTATATGTGCAGCCATATCAGACCCATAATTTAGACTTTGTTAGACTTAAATTTTTCTTTGTAATGTTGCTGAAGACTACACTTTCAATTTAATCAATCATCTCAAAATACTTTGACACACACACACACACATACACACACAAAAGGCAAATGAGAGCTAATAGATGGATAGCTGTTCATTATCACTACTGAAGAAAAGAAACAAACCTCTTACTAATATGGAGTCAGAATCTCAGCTTTATAGTGAAAAGATTATTGTAAATTATCAAATCTATTTTAGATCAAATTAAGCCCCATATCTGTTCTTCCATTCTTTTGTGAAATATCCATCTTTTATATCTTATTTTATACTTTAATGAGTGACAGTAACAGATTTTCACATGGCAAGCAAATTATGGTAGAAAAAGATAATAAAAGATTTAGTTTAGGGTCTGTCTATATTAAAAGATGAAATGTTTTGGGGAAATATTTCTAAATTACCATTTGAATTCTACATTAAATTTACCTCTAAAAATAAAAATAGTATAGGTTATATATCATGTTTTATGACTTGAAATGTTTAATAGTTTAGAAATATTTAAAAGCTCTGATAATTCAGTAGATATAATCAGTCTAAATGATAGTGATTCAAAATATTCTTTTTTCCCTCTCTCTGAAGTTTTCAGTATTTCTGGTGATATAGTCATTTAAATAACTGCATTATTGGGTTGATTATAGGTGGATGCTTAAATGATATCTGGTTAGTGAATATAGGTATGTTCATGTTTCTGTGACCCTGTTTAGGACTAAGTACTGGCATGTAATATAAAGTCAGGATTGAATTCAATAGAAAGAAATATAGAGTTGAGGGGAGTTCCTTTAATTAAGGAAATAAAAATTATAGTTTCACAAAACATAGTATTTAATATTCTAAGTTAGTCTGAAAGAAAAAAAATCAATCTACCCCTTTTTAACATACTGTTTCTACTTTTAATTGTACTGCAAATTTAGTAGTTCTATAAGTCGATATTAGAAACAAGTAGGTTCAGGAAAAAAGTATTTTATTAGTGAAAATTTGTCCTAAGTGGTATAAAGTGAAGTATCACACATTGTAATTCTACTATAATCTTATTTGGTTCAGGCATGTGGTTATGTAACTCCTCTTTGCACTGTTATTTAAAAATTTTAGAAATATACTTGAAACAATAGAGCAGTATACTTCTTTTCTGTGTTGAGAGTCCATAGTGCTGTACATGAAGTATCTAAACCAGCTTATTATAACCAACACTAAGTTTTTCTCTTTAACAACCCATCTATTTTTTTAAAAGCATAAATTCTGATATGTTAAAAAACAAACAAACTTAGACCTGTCTTTGCAAAGTATAAGGTGGGATAAAAATAGGTTTACGGTTGAGAATATACGAACCACAGAGTTTATTATTGTTATTTATTAGTTAATGTATTATTTTCCATATAAACAATATAAACTTACTTTGCTTCTCCCTGTATTTCTAAACTGTACTAATTTTGTTTCTAAACTGTACTCTTGATAATAAAATGTAGAAAACTATTATACTTCGAGGATTATTTTCATTGATTAAGCTTCACAATGTGCAATATTTTCTCAAACATTTAACATAGAAATTAATCAGTTTTTCAAAAACAAATGCCATATTATATTTGTTCTAGAGGCACTAGTGCACGAAATTCTTGAATGGGAGGGCATGTTCCTTAGCCCGGTCTTTACCCTCTCCAATCCAGAACTCCTCAGGGGATGTCGGCCTAAATCGGCAGTCAGACATCCCACTCATAATCCAGGACCACTGCCTCCTAACCGCTTGCCTGCCTGCCTGCCTGCCTGACAGCACCTAACCGCCTTTGCCTGCTGGTCTGATTGCCCCTAACTGCTCCCCTCCCAGCCTGCTCACCCCCTTAACTGCTCCCCCCTGCCGACCTGATTGCCCCTAACTGCCCTCCCCTGCCTGCCTTATCGCCCCCTGCCTTGGCTCCACCACAATCCAGAAGGAGTCCCGAAGATGTCTGGTCTAATTAGCATATTACCCTTTTATTAGTATAGAATTAGTATAATATCCTTTTATTAGTATAGATGGTTTCTCTGTCTAATAAATATAGAAAGAGTAGGGCAAGTGTTGGATCTGGAAAGTCCCCAAACCATGGTCTTTTCTTACTGAAATGATGGAGAAAGCTAGATAGCACTGTAAAAAATATATCAGGTATTCCCCAAACTCATTTTTTTCTTGTATACAGACTGAGTAGTCATAAGTATTAAAATAACTCTTGAAAAAAAAGAAAATAGTACTTATACAAACTATTATAATTGTAAAGAAATCAAAGGAAACAACAATGTGATGCTAATACATTACTAAAGTTTGGACAATTTGCCTTCAGACATACAGATCAAATTATTTCATTTGAATAAAACTTCATTATTAGCTGCTATATCTATATGTAGTAGTACATATTTTCACAGTGTATTAATGTTTTCATAGAGTATTAATTTTGTTTTCTGAACCAGCATCTACTTGCTTCTTTTGGAAAATTTCAGAATTTTCTCCCAAATCATACAAATTGATATGGAACTGAACACAAATTACTGACTGAATCAGAAAATAACACAAGGTGATTAATTCTTAAATTAAAAATTCTTAGTGAGGTATTAATGAATATAATTTTTTTATATTTTTTGCTTACCCATTTTTTATTTATTTTTTAAAAATATTTTTATTGATTTTAGAGAGGAATAGAAAGAAACATCAATGATGAGAGAGAATCATTGATCGGCTGTCTCCTGCACACCCCCTACTGGGGATTGAGCCTGCAACTCAGGCATATTTTTGGCCAGAATTGAACCTGAGACCCTTCAATCCACAGGCCAACGCTCTACCCACTGAGCCAAACCAGCTAGGGCTACCCATTCTTTTTTTTAAATTCTGAGGATATGTTTTTTATTTTAGAAAGTGAGGAAAAGAGAAACATGGATGTGAGAGAGAAACATTTTATCAGTTACCTCCTATATGCACCCCAACTAGGTATGTGTCCTGACTGGGAATCGAATTAGCAATCTTTTGGTGTATCTGGCGATACTTCAACCAACTGAGCCATGGGTTTCTTGTTTTTTTTTATAATGCTTAATTTATACAATAAATAATTATTAAGTACCTAATTTGTGCTAAACAACTAGTGAACAAAATACAGAAATAATTTAATATATTAGAGACACTATTAACAATAACTAAGCAAATTGTTAGACTGTAGTGCTATAGAGAAAAAAGTAGAGAAACAGAAATAAGGATTGTGTTGCTGAGGGTAGAGGCAAGTTTCAGTATTCTTTGAGACAATCAGAGGAGACCTTACAAATATAATAATAAAAGGGAAATTAAAACAGTTAACATCATTAATGTTTTTCTTATAGCTGGAACAGTCAAATGATTTCAGTTCGTGAAGCCAAAGCCATTCCCAGGCCTGATGGTATTGAATGGAGAAATAAATACATCTGTATAGAAGGTAGAATAATTTCAGCTTATATTATTATAAAATAATACATTTATATTCTGACATGGTTTGCAAGTCTTTTAGATATAAGATTTTAATTTAATATTTAAAAATAATTTAAAACCTTTAATTGTAGAAAATAACAAACACGAATTTAGTTGGTGAGATTTGAGCAGTCTTTATGCATCGCTCCTGCTTATAATTGATGGAAACGTTATATTGAAATAAAATCAGTTATTTTATGCTGATTCTTAAACACAAGCTAGATTTTTATGAATAGAAATTGATTTTACTTTAAAAATTAAATGCTGAGATATTTTGTAATTATATTCTGAAACTAATTTATATATAGTTTCTATCACTGACTCAAAGAAACACTGACTGTTGTTAAGTGCTGTGTGTGATAGGACCTGATAGTTTGGTGAATGGCATTATCCTATTGAAGGAAACGGTACTGTAACAGTAAATTTCTTTTTATAAAAGCCTTTCTAAGCAATAAAAAACACACAAACAAAAGGAGCTTTTAAAATGATGGGTCTGCCTGCTTAGATTGCATTACCAATGTAAAGTGAACTTCTCCATTGGATTTCACCTTCTTTCCAGGTCTCAGCTTTAAGGCACACACAGTTCTTATCAATACTCTTGGCCTCATCCTGTTACATCTCCTAAGAACTTTCCCCCCTCTTTTTTATTGCCAAAATTCTTAAACTAGAGTAATTTTTACCTACTGCTGGCATTATTTCAGTATCCCATCTGTTAGCCTTCTTTTCTCACTATTATCTTCAGTTTCCTTGTCTTTTCAATATTATAAAACATTTGTTGTTTGTATATATGAACTCTTCCTTCTTGTGGGTGACGTGCAAAGTAATGTTCTGTTCTCTAAAACTCTTCATTTTCTTCCTGTCTTCTCTACTTGCTATCATTTCTCTCTTTCACTGCCAAATTTCTCATACAAGTTACTCTGTTCTCACTGTATCTAAACCATCCACTCACACCATAACTCCCTGCACTGTCTTCTAGCTTCACAATGTTTAGACTTACTTTCAAAGGGATTGACCTTTCTCTTGCTTGACAAATCAGTGGTTTTTTAAATTTAAATTACATTTAAAATTATCTTTCTGTCATGTTTAACATTAACCACTTCTCTCAGATACAGTGCTTTATTCTTTTTGATAACTTTAATTCTTTAACTTATTTTTATTTTCTTAAGGGTAGGTAGGTTTTTGACACTCTAATTCTTTAGAAATCTTATCCACTTTTATGATTTAGATTTAACGTATTTAGGCTGATGACTTCATTTTTAGTTATCCTCTCACTTGAATTCTTTCTACCTTATTAGACAGTACATAGCTATATAAAACTATGTTCAATATGCATAAATCTAATAAGATACTAGGTTGAGTTATATATAATTGCTATTTTCGAGGTAAAAAACTGTCAAATATTGACAATTTCATATAGTTCAACCAAATAAAAAACAAGCTCTCATTTTAATAATTTTTTGTTTATATGTGCATTTAACTTTTCAGAACCTTTTGATGGAACAAATACTGCCAGAGCTGTGCATGAAAAGCACAAGTTTGACATGATAAAGGATCAATTTTTAAAGGTAAACAGTATATTAGATTAAATCTTAAAAGCATTAGACCAGTGTGCTTTGAAAATGAAATACATATGCACTAGTAATTGACAGAATAGCCCTAGTTTCTGTGTAGTGAAGCCATCGATGTGGCACAATAGGGAATTTATTACTTGAATTTAGTTATATTTTTCTTTCAGAGAGATCTGGCTCTGTTTTTATTCATATGGCTTTCACTTTTGTGGAAATAAGCATTTCCATAGTGACTTATTAAACTCTGAAAATAAAACTAAAACCTGGTGGACTTATTTGCCTCCTAAAATATGGGGAACTTATAGCCTTAAAAGAAAACTTAATGATTTATTATTCATTTATTTTTATTGTTAAAAGTATTACAGATATCTCCCATTCCCCCTCATGATTTTTCTTTTGCATACTCTAACAGGAACTTGAGTCCCATTTTATCTTTGTTTATATTTTGAGAAGTTAAAAAAGTATATTTGTGTATATACACGCATTATGTATATAAACATACACACACACACAATGTAGTTTATTCCTTAGTCACATTATGAATTTACTCATCAGTAATTTTGCTCTTTAGTCACATTATGAATTTATTCATCACTAATTTTGCTAGGTGGAGTATTAGTCCTCAAGGAATTCCACAGTACAATGTAGAAACACATTAGTAAAAATATGTACGATTAGGCATACAGGAGAAATACTTCATAGAAGAAAAAGATCAGTGAACTGTGACGATCATTTTAGAGACATACCTTTTTATTATCAAGATATACAAGTGGACTTTATTTTGATGATAATTAAAAATGCAAGTGTAGTATATTACAAACTTTTCTTCCAATTAGGTCCTTCAATTATCAACCACACTAGAAAATTTAAATGAATGTAATTCTGCAGGAAAAAACAGATATTCCAGAAGGAATATTTTTGCCAGTTTAATTGATAATTCAAAAACAGTTTTGCTTACATAGCTATTCTTATTGATGGATGAACTTCCTTCAGTTCCTTTTTCTTTTCTTTTTTCTTTTTTTTTTTTTGTTTTGTTATTTCTCACCCGAAGATATTTTTCCATTGATTTTTAGAGAGAGTGAATTCTTTCTTACTAATTCAACTTACTTGTCTTTTCTAGATTCATGTAAAAAGTGTTTTTTAATAGATTTACTGTCACCTTCATAAATACTATTTTTAATTGAAAAAGCTTACTAGATGCTAAATAGTCCATCAGATAATTTAAGTAGTCTTCCCTTATTCTTTCAAACTCAAAGGTTTTGTTCCAATTACTTTGTACCTGCTACTTTAGATGAAATTATTTAAATCTGTGAATAAGTGTGAACATTGTCAATTGTGTCTTTTTGTACCAGTTATATGTCCATTTATTAACTGAAGCCACACAGGTATTGATTTTTTTAGGTAATACTCTTTTCTAATGACAGAAACAATTCTTGTACTGTGTTAAAAACTTGGTAGATAAAAACACAAGGAAGGAAAAAAACCCCAAAATTTTACTACTTTTAAAGAACTATTGACATTCAAGTAACTTTCAGTATTTGTTCGGCACATACTTTAGTTTTTAAAAATGATTTTTTTCTCTCTCACAGTCATGGCACAGATTGAGAAACAAAAAAGATTTGAACAGTATACTACCTTTAAGAGCTGCTGTCCTGAAAAGATGACTGGCCTCTATTACTTAATAAGTTCTTCTGATAAATAAAGAACAATAGTTATACCATAATGCATTTTGTTTACCTCCATCATAGTTTGTTATCATTGTTCTTGTTTTCATGTTTATTTTTAAAAGGACATACTTATATAAAGATTGCATATTTTATTATAACATTTCCTAATAAAAACCCTTTGATTTAAAAATGTATTTTTGAAAATGTTTACATTGATGATTAGTGATATTATGGCATGAATTTTCAGGTGATCAGATAAAATATTTTTTGGGAGACTACCTGAACAAATAAAAGGTTTTTGATATAACTTCAGTTAATTGTACCACATGCTAATACTGAAAAGATTTGTGGAATTTTGGAAAGTATAATCTACAGTAGATAGTTTATTACCTGTCCTAGTAAAGTGAAGAGTCAAGTCAGTTATTCAGTTACTTGAAGCAAAATGAAATCTTTTATTTCAGTGAAATCACTGCAAAAGCATGAAATACTGGACAGTTGCCTTAAGTCTTCGCTTGAGTCCAGGATAGAGGCTATATGTGTGTCTGTATTAGCATTTCATTAGTACCTCAGATGCTTTTGATGTACTCGAGATTGCTTTCAATTTTTTGTGACAACAGTACATTTTGCACTGTAGTATTATGAGCGCTAACTCTGTATTGAACAGCAGTTAGTGAATTGTTTTAAAAAAATCAATTCATGGTAGACATTTAAAAAGATCAAGTCCCCTACGCTTTATGGTAGCTTAGTGCAATATGCATTTTAGCTTTACTTCCCATTTTGTGCTTTTATTTTCCATGTGACATGAAACAACAGAAACTGAAAGCTCAAAGTTGAGATTATAACCTATTGATCATATCAGATTTTTTTCTGTGTGCAATTATAGGATTGTAATCAACTGGAATTTTTAGGCAGTAAGTCCCTCATGAAATGTTTTAGGGTAAGACATAAAATCATTATAAATAAAAGCTTAATGTTTGTAAAGATACTTTTTTAGTGTTTCTTTTCCACATGAAGAAGTATTGGTGGCTGCTGAAAAAGCTACAGTGTTTATTAAGGTTGTTTGGGATTGTGTAAATATTTGTAAAGTGGCTAATGCCTGTACATTTAAATCTGAAAAGTAATCTTTGAAACAGTTTTAACTTTTTCAAAAAGACTGTACAACTTCTTTTAGACCTGCTGTAGCAGTTTGTACCTCTAATATATTTGGGGGTTTTGTTTTTGTTTTGTTTTTTTGCAGACGAATCCAAATGCTAAGACTTGCTTTTCTTTGACTTGTAAAAGGTGCATATTTTCATTTTCTTCTTTAAGTTTAAAGTTTTGTATTATGTCAAATGCAATAAAGTTTATATATGGAAATTGTTGATGTGTTTTTGTGTGTGTGAGTCTTGAGATTGAGGCTGTAGCAATCATCTGGAGCTGAACTGACTTCAGTTGTGCTTGATTATTTAGATTACATAGAGGGTTTAGAATCAGGTTCTTTCATTGTTAAGCCAACTAACTACATCAACACCCTATTTCTCTGGTATTACTAGGAATGAAGCTTTCAACACAGATCAGTTTTTTAGATTATTGATATTTAACACTTTTAAAGCAATTATGCTTTATATAGTCCCTTTCTTGGAAATTTAAAAAAAAGTATTATACACTGTGCAAGTCTTCTTTATCAGAATGTGTTGAGCATAATAAATATTATAGTGACGAGTAATCATAAACAATAGTTATAGTATTGTATAGTAGCTGTGCAGCTCTCAGGGACCCGGTAAGTATTTAGGGTGTTCTTCCTCTATAGTATTATGACATTTCCAAATAAAATTCCTCCCACCCCATATTTATTATGGTATGGACTCCTAAATTGGCCCTTTTCTCATCTTTCAAAAGTGAGAAACTGAAAGATGAGGGAAAACACACACTGCTCATTTTACTGTTGCTTCTTTCTCCTGTTTTGTTGAAAAATAGGTCAGTGAATAAACTTTTACTCAGTTCAAAATCTATAAACTTATGCCTAAATTCTCCATGGATCACTGGAGTAGCCTTGAAACCCGAGCAGGCTAGCTACTCCCTCCCCTCCCCAGAAAACCAGCATCGCAAGGCGAAGTTGTGAAGGGATCATGAGACTGAGGCCTGAACTAAGGTCCCTTGCTTAGTAAGGAGTACTTCTTCGGTTGGGATTAAGGGTAGCTTGGCTGGAAAGCCTGCCAAACGCACTCTAGAGGAAAGAGGTGGGTCTGGGCGCCTTTCCTCCTCCACCTGTTGCTGCCCAGGGGCCTGCGTCCCCGGAGCGGTGGGCGATGTTAGGGCCCCAAGGGCCGCCAGGGATCCGCCTGGAGGGCGCGGGGAGGGCGAGGGGGAGTTGGCAGATACGCGGGAAGAGGAGAAGCCCAGTCCGGGCGCCCCAGCGGCAGAACTTTTGACGCCTTCTATTTAAAGACGCGGCCGTGCCCGCCCCCCGAGCCGGAACCCGAGCCGCCCTGCGGGCCGCGGGCGCAGTCAGGGGGAACACCAGGCGCGGCGGCGGCTCTGGCTCCGGCTCCGGCTCCGCGCAAGGACGCGATGGCGAGCAGCGACAGCAACCACGCCGCCGACAGCTTCCTCGGCTCCGACGGGGACGAGGAGGCCACTCGGGAGCTGGAGAGCGAGGAGGAGTCCGAGGGCGAGGAGGACGAAACGGAGTCGGAGGAGGAGCCGGACGCCAGGTAGCGTGTGCGCCTCTCCCAGCCTGGAGAGGCGGGCGCCGGGGCAGGTGCTGCAGGTGCTTCGCGTCGCAACCTGCCTGCTCCGCTTCCTAATCGCTTCAGTTCACTCCGTTCCCTCTGGGGCGCTGCCTCGGTGAGAATTTAGAGGTGAAGGTACCTCCTGTCAGTTGGAGTGACAGGCCCGCCTGCAGCTGCAAAGTTCATCCCTTCCACACCCCGCCCTGCTCCCCCATCCCTGCCCCCTCTCCTCCCAGCCCAGCTCCTTGGCACGTGCAGCTCTTGTTTATTCCTGGGAATTTACTTCGGGGCCTGCCCAACTGCAGAGTGTGCTGAAACTCCGAAACTTTTGGCCTCAGGCACAGGAACAGCCTTGAAAGCCTGAGCTAGAGAAGGGGGTTTGGGGCCGGAGTGGGGGGTGTGGAGGGTGAGGGTAGCGGTCTCTTGGATGGCTCATATTGGGATAGGTTGCTACAAGGGAACTTGATTTTGGTACAAAGGCCCATAAATTCTTTGGAGAAAAGAAGCATGAGTTTCAGCAACCCTTGTTCTTAATTTCTTCCTCCCCCCCATCCCCCAGTGGTCCCAAATAATGAATGTGAATGCAGCTAGATAATACTGTATAAAACTATGGTTTTTCCCTCCACGTAGACCTTCCTCTTCCCTCCCTTCATAGGGATCCTAAAATGAGATAAGTAGAAATCATCTTCTCTCTATTTAGATTTATTTCTACTTTTACATGTTCTATTTGGGTATGGGGTGGCTTCTTTTTGTTTTGTTTTTGTCAGTGATGTTTCTATCTATTTCTATTAATATCAATAGAGAGGCCTAGTTTGTAGATGACAGATTATGTTCAACATTTCAGAATCCCCATCTTATCCAAAGTTAAAAAAGTATTGCCCAACCGAAGCCAATAGAGCTGGCGTTGAAGTAGCCCTAAACTGGCATTGATTAGGGTGAATGGCCTGTCAGTTACGTTTGGTATGTGGGTCATATATTTACCAATCAGCTGCCAAGTGGGAAGTTGGCACAGCCCCTGTCCTTTAGGACTTTATGAGAAAAATTAGAGAGCAAGGTGGAAAGTGTGATACTATGTATTACATAAGTGAGAGGGCGGGGAGGACAGACCAGGGTCGGTGGAAGGTGCAGAGCTATGACTGCCTCGACAAGTGGGCCTGCCCTGGGCGCTTTACAGAATGGCAGGAGGTGCAGAAAGGAAAAGCAGAAGAGAGAGCACCTGGAGGAAATGGAACAAGGAACAGGGAATGTTGAGACGGGAGATCTGTCAATCCCAGACTTTTTAACCTTTTCCCCTTAATGGTGCCTCTGATCCTATGTCCTTGTCTACCCGTAATGTACTCGCCCCATCACTGAGGATCTGAAACCTCATTTCCCCCAAAATGTGAGCAGCTGAGAGTGATTCAAAGCACCACTTTGGTGTTGCATTGCCCTTTTTCAAAGGGTGAACTCTTCAGGTAAAGACATGTTTTATCTGCAGGAAACTTAGCCTGCTCTGACTAAGATGGTAAGAGAGAGAAAGAAAGGAATTGAACCACTGTGGGGGCAAGGGACGGGGTTGGTAGCTATAGCTAGAGGTAGGGAGATGTCAGTAGGAAGGAACTCCTAGGAGAACTGAGAGACCCCAAATTTCTCTCAGTTCCAAGTGTTGTCAGAAATCAAACTGATTTGTTGCGTATGAGTTTACAAATGTAGCCTAGAAGTTCTTACTTTTGAGACTAGAGGTGAGAACTTTGCGTATTCTCTCATCTATTGCAGGCAAGAATGATGTCCTGATGTCTCCACCACCAAAGTTTTACAATTTAAAAAAGGCCCATTTATATCTGTGCCAGTTTCAGGGCTGTGTTTACATATGCTTTCTCATTTTAAACACCGTCAGCACTCTAGGAGGTGACTGTCTAGTTACAGATGAGGAAACTGAGGCTTTATACAATTTACTGAGCATATAAGGCAAGTAAATGTAAGAATCAGGATGTGAGCCTGGGTCTGTTTACTCCAAGCTGCGTGTAGACTTTCACTGCTTCTCTTCCTCACGGAAGGTGAAACTTGAATGACTCCAACTAATTTCTACGTTGGAAAGGTTATTAGAGGAAGAGGCTTTATCTCTTTGAATACTAGTGGGAGTTTTTCCCCCTTCTGTAATGGAAAAGTTGTCTCCGCATATTCTCAAAGGTCAGAATCATTCTCAGAAGTTGAATTACAAACTGATTATATTGAGAGAAACATAAAAGTAAATAATGGAAGTAGCCTAAGTAATAACAGAAAGATTAATTATTGTATTTATTTGATGTGATATTAAGCTATTTTTAAATGCTATTTATGAAGATTTCTAACAATATAAAAAATACATATATAGCATTTGAAAAAATACTATATAAATTAAAATCACTCTAAAAAATAAAATATGTATTGGAAAAAGGTGTTAAAGGTTAATAAACGTTAACTTAATTAAGATTATGCTAAACTTTATTAACCTTAATGTTTAGACGGTTAATAGTGGTTGTTTTCTGAGTCATGGGATAATAGTTGACTAAAGTTTTTACTCTATCTGTATTTTTCAGGTTTTCTATAATAAGCACATCATTTTCTTATCAGAAAATATAAATTTTATGTTTAAAAATTCGAAAGGCACCAAGTATAATGTGCTTGTCTTTTTTATCTTATCACGAATAATATATATTAAATTTATCCAGAGCTACCTTTCTGAATCAAGGTGGGGAAAAAAACCTTTAGTTGTAAAAATTCTTTTCTAGTGCAGGAAAGCTCACCATTACAAATGCCAGTACTTACATTGGATCAGAGAAATGTCTTTCTGATGTATTATTCAGCAATGAGTGTGATACATGGCACGAAGAGTCCTGAATATGAATCCTATTAGCCATTCATTCTGTCATGGGCAAACTCTCTGTCCTTCTGAACCCCAGTTTTGTTATCTGTAAAATGATAGTAATACCTCTAATTCATAAGGTTGTCTTAAGATTAAACAAACTCTGTGAACGTGTGTAAGCATGCTTGGCCTTTAGAAGGTTACCATTAAATTTTAGTTTCTTATATCCCTTTCGATGACTCATTGCCAGCAAAGCTTTACCTTCTGCCTACCATTCATCAGTGAAGGAAGAGGGGTGGTCCCAGTTTTTAATAAGTATGATGATTCTGTTCCACTTTGGCTTTCCTGTATTCATTCACTCACTATAACATGTTTTGGAATGCCTCCTAATTGCCATGGACCATGCCAGGTGCTGGGGATAAAATAATAGCTAAGAATCCATAAATGTCCTCGGAGTGTTCACATTCTAGGTGGAGAAATATAAAAACATAAAATGTCATTCATTGTTATGATATTTGAGGAAGAAAGTGCTGGGATCATCCTTCCTGGATTCAGGCTAATGTTTGTTAGTTTATTCACTCAACAGCTACTCATCGAACCCCTACTATGTGCCAGGTACTTTCTAGGCACAAAGGAAACAGCAGTGAACAAAATGAACGAAGTTCCTGCCCTCCTGGGAGTGACTTTCCAGTTTGAGGAGACAACCAAAACATATATGTAACGTGTTAGGTGGCAATAAGTGATATGAGGACAAACACAGCAGATAAGGGTTTTGCTGTTTTGGACAGGTGGTGAGGAAAGCCTTCCTGGTGAAGTGACATTGGAGTAAAGACTTAAGGAATGCGTGTATTAGGCAAAGGGAAGAGCTGGTACAAGGGCACTGGGGCAGGAATGTGTGTGGTCTGTCTGAGGAACATAAGGAGTCAGGTTGCTGGAGTAGAGTAGGTAAATAAGGGGAGAGTGGTGGGAGGTGAGTCGAGGGAATAATTAGGTTGCAGATCATGTAGGGCTTTGTAGACCAAGGTAAGGACTTCAAGCTTTATTCTGAGTAAAATAGGAAGCTGTGTTCTATCTACCATACCATCAGGGTTTTAAGAAACAAACAAACAAAAAGTATGGTGACTGCAGTGTTCCTTTAAATAGTGAGCATATACAGTCATAGATTCATTCCACTAACATTTATTGAATACCCACTATGTGCCAAATACTGGGCTGAATGTTTCAAATTCATGACCTTCTTAATGGGGGGAGATATGTACACAGATACTGGTTTTGGGATTTTTTTCTTTTCTGATTGTAGACCAATGAAGCCTGATTCTTTTAATCTTTTCCATAGGTCACTTAGAAATGTTCAGTATTTTTGTTTTGGATCATTTTCTGTTGGTCAATTTTCATTTCTCTTTAAGCACAGAGGATTTTGCCACAACAGAACCAAGACTTAAGATCACTTTCAATTGCGGCTTTGTCAGTGCTTGTAAAAAATAATTCTGTCTAAGCTGATAGAACTAAAATTATTAGTGACATTTACATTTAACTAATCATTGTAGAAAACCTTTTGGAAGGTAAAGGAGTTTGTAAATTGTTTTTGTTATCAGTACAGAGCACTCTGTCTCCATATATCTATTTATATGTCTCCCCTGGCTGTGCTTATCTAAGTGTTTGGACAAATGTGTTATTTGAGCCCTCTTTTAAGGTCAGTAGAAAGAGCTGAGACAGGATGAGTGACTGCTCAGGATGCCAGAGACTGGGGGAGGAGAGGATGAAACAGAAGCACTTGTAGCCAGAAATTGAAGAGCTATTTAAGTGTTGGCTGCATGGGTATTACAGGCCCTTGAGAATTTGTTTCAATATAGGTGAATGCAGTAAGATTTGGAATTATTTTATTCTTTAAAACAGCATCCCTAGTAAAGTGTGGAACATATTGACTAATAAATGTTGCCCCCCAGAAGTCTTATATTCCTTGGATATTCTAAACCTACTCTTAGTAAATGCCTTGACTCAGTTCAGACAAGGTAACGAAATTCCCCTTTCTATAAAAAATTAGAGAATCAGGTACAAGAGACTGGATGTGGTTTGTACCTGAAATAGTAAGCCTTTGGTTTAGTTCACCATTATCCAATAAAAATAAGATGTGAGCCACACTTGTAACTTTAGATTT